TGAGCCAGAGAGCTAACGCTACGTTAGCATGACATCAAAGTGAACAACATGGAGTCGACATCGTTGTAAAGTTTGCTTGGGTACACGAGTAACACGCTATCCGTCACACCACGGCAACAACTATTACCACAAGATCTTCACAAAGAAACGCCGTCTGTGGGCCTGAGACGACGAGCGAGCTGGTGGAGGATGTGAGGGATCCTCAAGGAGGGCATCAGGGCTCAGAGGGGCAGCGCTACTCACTCCTTCCAGTTTGAGTGTTCAGGTCTCCAGCCGGTGTTCCATCCAGGTCACTAAGAACACACATTCATGAGTATCACCTGAGATGTTAGCGTCATGCTACGTGTTGGGAGCTATGAAAGGACTCGTCAGCGTTCATGCGTCTCTGCAGGTGGCGGCTGTTCTTCTTTCTGTCTCATACTCAGATCACGACTGAAAGAACTTGTGTGAAGGAAACGCAGATGTTTCTCATTCTGGTTCATTACTTCTACGTCTACTTATTGAAATAGATGTTCTCTGTTACTGTGTTTTATTAATGAAACCGGCACCAACACACAAAAGACTGAATGCGCAGAGAAGTTGAAGCACGAGGTGATTACCTGAAGGCAGCGTTCAATAGGTACGTAGACTGGAAAGCACATGTAGGGAGGGAAGAGCGTTATGGCCGATACTCTAAAAGAGACAGAACAAACCGGCCCAGAGAGAAGAGGACACGAAGAAACACACAATGAAAGGAGGGACACAACCACCAAGAAGCACACGATCACAAAGTGGGGAAACACAAGAGCCGAGTCCACCGAAATAAAACAGGAAATATTAACTGAAAACTGGAGACAAGAAGAAAATCACCTCAGAGGAGAGTTGTGTGTGACACGTGAACCATGAAGAAATGTTGTTCTACAGAATAAAACCAAGCTGAAGATCCTGGTGGAAACTTCTCTTGATTAATGTTTCACTGTTTAATTCACACAAGTGATGATTGTGTTTGTGGAAACTTTAATAAAGCTCAAACTGTTCTTTGGAGGGTTGAAGAAGAGTCTTCAGTTCATGGTCATGTTAACGTGTTTCTTAAGAAGTTACATCACAGGTGATTTAAATAGTGAAACCCGGTCATGTGACGAGGACTCACTGGCTCCGTGTGTTTGCATACGTGTCCTTCCTCTCTGCTCACACGCCTTAAGAGAGCTGATCAGTGGCGGTCCAGGCCTCACGCACACTGGCACGCCGGCAGCACAATGATGATGTCACTGAGTCTACTGCTAACCAGCCTGGGGCTCCTTGTTCACGGTGAGACCCTCTTCTGGAGGCTTTGCTTCTCCACAGGGACGTTCTGCTGTGATGGAGAACCAGTGGAACAAGCAGCGTGGACCTTCCTCACCTGTTCTCCGTGTTGAAGAAATGAGACTCTTCTGTCTGGATGTTGATCATCTTTCTCCAAACTGGATTTGTCTCAATAACCCTTCTGCTCTTCTTCATGTTTCCCAGGTTCATCAGGAGAAATCCAGCTGACTCAGTCTCCTGGATCTCAGTCTGTTGTTCCAGGACAGACTGTCTCCATCAGGTGTAAAGCCAGTTCTGGCATTAGTAACAACCTTCACTGGTACCTACAGAAACCAGAAGAATCTCCCAAACTTTTGATTTATTACGCTTCAAGTCGTCAGTCTGGGATCTCAGATCGTTTCAGTGGAAGTGGATCTGGAAGTGACTTCACTCTGACCATCAGAGGAGTTCTGACTGAAGATGCAGGAGATTATTATTGTCAGCAGGGTTACAGCTCCCCGTTCACACAGTGAAACAACGTCGTACAAAAACCTCCTCAGCTGGAGAGGAACTGATCCACTCAACAGCTGCACAGGAACACAGACACTTAACGTTTGAGTGACACTTCAACGTTTTTAAAGTTGTCAGAAAATATTGTTACAAATAGAATGAATTATAATCTAGTTGAATATGAGAAAAGATCCGTTAATACAATTTACATGATCACTATATATTAATCTCTGAAATACAATATTCACCTCTATATGCTTTCAAGGATCATTTTTGTGATTCGGATTTATTTGTTAATATGATAGATATAAAAGTTTAATAATAACTATATAATAATATGGTTAGTTATATAGTTATAGGTAGTTATAGTTTATTTTCCAACCAACCTAAATGGATGGTTTGTGTTTTAATGATCTTGTAATCATAGTAGAACACTACAGTTGTGTTTTATTTGGATCCCACTGCTTTTATTACAGTCTTAGTACTACTGGAACTCAGTTCGGCGTTCAACAAGGTCAAAGGTGACACATTACGAGACGGACTGAGAGTCTGGGTGAGACTCTCTGGCTCAACACGACGCTGGTTTGAATCCTACTTGAAGATCCGCGAGCACTCTGTGTCTGTAGATAATTACACATCACAGCGGATTAAAACACATGAGGTGTTCCCCATGGTTCCTTCCTGGGGCCTCTCCTGTTCAAAATCTACATGCTTCCACCTGCTCACATTATGCAAAGAAACAAAGTGTGTATTCGTTATTATGCAGACGACACACACATCTACTATGATCCCCACTGTCACCTGAAGAATATATCAAGGATTAGAGGCTTCAACAGGATTTTAATAACTTGTCACTGAACGGTTCAGGGCCAAAACACACGCGTGACCTGCTGCCACCTTACGAACCATCCCGACCCCCCAGGTCCTCTGGCTCTGCTCTCTGTTCCCATAGTCACAACCAATCATGGAGAAGCAGCTTCACATCTTCTGCTCCACATCTGGAACAAACTGCCACAAAGCTGAAGGTCTGCTGAGACTCTCAGCGGCTTCAAATTAAGACTGCAGCTTTTAATTGAACCAGACAGGGATGTTGATCCATTTACTGCATCTCTGCATATTATTACTGTATTTTACTATTTAGAGTCTAAAACTACACTACACGCTTTAATGTGAAGCCCTTTGAAATGCCTTGTTGTTGAAATGTGCTAACTCAAAAGAACTTTATTAATACTATGATAAAAAATAATGAAGATATCCTACTTTACAATCCCAATTTACTTAACACATCTCGAACTGTTGTTAAATTAAGATTATTTTGACTATAAACAATGACTGACGGACCCTGTGGTGTAGATTCTGTTAAAGGGGTTTTCCTTAATACATTTAAAAATCAGACTTGTTAAAAAAGTATTTTTTTTTCCCTTAATGGTGAAACAAAGTATGACAATACGTTGGTCATATCTGGCTCACATTCAGTTAAGCTCATTACACATTTCCAATAAATATGAAATCTCAAGACTCAGTTGAGTTAACTGTTTCTAGATGTATTGCAACCAAAGAAAGACAAACCTATGTTTACTTTACAATAACAATCCTAATATTTTAGTATTTCTTGCCATTTCCAATAATTATAAAAATTCAAGTTGAGAACTTTTTCTGCATTTATTGGAACTAGAGAAAGAGAAACATCCGTCTACTTTAAAATAACATACTGATAACAATGAATTTGATGAAATGTTATTTATTATGTTGAACAAAATAAAAGAACAGAACTTATTGAATGAAACAGCAACTTAGACAATGATTAAAACAAGAAATGAACAGAAAATGTAGAGTTACAGGCAGACTGAACCAGTATGAGAGTGAACCAGTATCAGAGCCCCAGTGGCTCAGCTCACTGGGAACACTGGTCTCTCCTCAGCGTCTCTGAGAGCGCAGTCTGGGAGCCCTGGGTGGCCTCACAGGTCACGGAGCCCACCTTGGCCCACTGGTCTGTAGGGAGCCTCAGGGTGCTGCTCCAGCTGTAGAGGGCGCCCCCCCCCAGCACCCCGGGGCTCCTGCTCTCCTCCCAGCTGCTGCTGCTGCCGTCCACCTTCCAGGCCAGACTCCAGTCGGAGGGGAAGCCCTTGTCGGCCAGGCACACCAGCGTGGCCGTCCCCTGCTGCAGCTCCTCCCTGGAGGGGGGCAGCACCGTCAGGGTGGGCCGGACATCACCTAGGAGACACGATCAGCTGTCAATCAAGCACCAGACATGGGACCCCTTCACTGTGAGAGGGCCGATTCAGTCCTTTGAGGAGTTTCTGCCAGATGTTTCTTCTGCTCCAGCAGTCACTCACTCACACCATGTTTCACTTCCCTTCAGAAGCCTCTCATGCACATCAGCACAGAGACATCCTCAGACAGGAGGACATGAAACCACAGAAGAAACGTCACATGAGGACAATGTTCAAACTGTCCAAAACGTGGTCTAAAATAATGACTTCAAGCGTGACTTAATAGAGAAAATAAACCAACAGCAATCAAACTTTCTTCAACATCTGTGAGTGATATTTAATTAATAAAAAACAAGTAAATGATTACTAAAGAACATTTTACAAAAATGTATATTAATATTTTAGTGTTTCTTTACACATTTCCAATATCCAAAAATGTGAAAATGATCATAAATGTATTTATCGTGCGCTATAAGAATGGAAAAAATATCCATTTTGATGAATTTTGTCTCATTCTGATGTTAATTTACATTGTAGTAAATTTTGGGGATCTTATAAAACATTCCAGAAGAAAATGTTTCCATCAAACTGCATCAAAGACTCGTTAACGAGCACTGACACATTCCTGATCAATGGAGCGATCAGCTGATTGATCCATTGATCACCAGCGTCATCAGAGGAGTCAGGCACAGCATTTCCATAGAGACACTTTGCATCAGCAGCACATGCTCCAGTGCTCTGGGAGACCTTATAGTCCTGAGAGTTGGACCCTGGAGGACAGCTGTCCTTCATCACAGCAGAAGACACAGAGATCCTCCTCATCACAAACATGACTCTGATCTGCGTCCTCGTCTGGACTCTCCTCTGCTTCACAGGTAAAGTCCAGAGGACCAAAGTCCTCTCCTCTGTGGACGTGCGTCCCTCTGAAATGAAGGAGACACGACCATGACGCTAATTTATGTCTTTGTCTCCGTGTCCTCAGAGTCCAGAGGCCAGGTCACAGTGACTCAGCCTGGAGCAGTGAGCTCTGCTGCTGGAGGCTCCGTCTCCATCTCATGTACAACCAGTCAGAGTGTTTATAACTCTAATCTTTTAGCCTGGTACCAACAGAGAGACGGAGGAGCTCCTAAGCTGCTGATTTATCTTGCTACCGCTCGAGCATCAGAGACTCCAGGTCGTTTTACAGGCAGTGGATCAGGATCTTCCTTCACTCTGAGCATCAGTGGAGTCACAGCTGAAGATGCAGCACATTACTACTGTCAGAGTGCTCATGTAATCAACAGTCAGTGGGTGTTCACACAGTGAAAAAGAGTCGTACAAAAACCTCCTTCAGTAGGAAGGAACAGAAACCGAACTGACTGACGCACTTCACTGGAGACACACACACACACACACACATTCATGATTACATTACAACCGTCCGCCACACTCCCGTCGGAGGGGAAGCCCTTGTTTGCCAGGCACACAAGCGTGGCCTTCCCCTGCTGCAGCTCCTCGCTGGAGGGGGGCAGCACGGTCAGGGTGGGGGCGACCCGCCCCACTGCAGCGAGAGACAGCCATGAAGTGTGTGTGAGGCTGCAGCAGAGGAGGACACTAGTTCTGTTTTAGGCATTCTTCAGATCGGAGGAAACTGATCTTAAACTGATGTTAAACTAATGTAAGACGTTCCCTCTTTGAGCTCCGTGACCACGGCAACACCCAGGCATCAGCGCTGAACCATGACGGCAGGCAGGTTTCACTACTAAAGATAAAACATATATTTACCACTGAAACATCTGTGAGTTTCATAGTTAAAACAATGATTCACCTTTTGAGACTTTTAATAGATTAACTTTCTTCAGTTTTATCCCGAAACCTTATTTTATCGTTACCGCCAAATATTTAAAAAAAGTCCCAGCCATCTTCTCCTGAAAGAGGTGAATCATTTCACACTTGAAGATTGTCCACTACTGAAATATTTTCTCAATGAATAGCTATAAAATCATGTCTAGAAGAAATACCTCATAATAATTCAATTTAAACATTGAACAAAAGAAAATTAATTAATAAAAGTCTTTATCCAAAATATTATTGTATGTTTTAGTAAGTTAAAAATACTGACGCATTCAAGAATTGTTACAGATATGTTCAATTTTAAATATCAGATCAATTACAATATTAACCTCTCTATCTATATATTGAAATCGAATACAAAGTCAATGACATTAATGTCTAAAAACAATTTTGGTCGAAAAATCTCATGGAGAAAAAAAAGGAAGACATTTTAGAAATGCCAAAAATTTTAGATTGAAAAATGTTTTAGGTGGATTAATATAATTGGGTCATAAATATGTTGGGTCGATAAATGTCATGTAAAAAGAGTGAAAAAATATAAGGTTGATTTATGTTATGTTTTTTAAGTCAAAATATGTTAGACAGAAAATAATTAAGGAAAAATACTTTAAAAAGATAAATGCATCAAAAATGTTTTGAAAAAAAGTCCAAATATCAAAAATGTCAATGTTGGTTGAAAACATTTAAAAAACAAGTTAAAAATGTAAGGTCGAAAATTTTGGGATGCAATATGTTGTATTTTGTTGCGGCAGTACTTTTTTTATTAAAATTAAGATGTTATCATTGTTGTCTTAATAGCATAATGGCAGGAGAGGCTACATCAGTGTTCTTAAAGTGAGTTTCTTGGTTTTATTCAGAATTGATCATTTCTGATGATACAGCTTCAATATCACGTTGTTAAAAAATATTCGCGAATATTCCAGTTTTCTTTTCGTTGTGTAAGCTTTTCACGGGGCGGAGTTGTCCGCTAGTCTTTGTTTGAAAGTGTTGTAGTTTTTCACTTTTAATTTAAAGATGTCAATGGCTGTTGTATGTTTCTGACCCTTAGTGGCAAATAATCAGTATCCTGTGACACATTCAGCCCTCACTCACAGTTCCCACAGCAAATATATATACAATGTCACTATTCTCCATTTATATATATATATATATATATATATATATATATATATATATATATCTATATATAAATATGTATATATATATATGCACGTATGTGTATATATATATTTATTTGATGGGGGGTTCTTCTGAACATCAGTCTATCTGAAGATGTCTTCAAATACCGTGTTTCTATACTGCGACTGTTCCACATTGACGTGAGGCAAGCTTAATGGTTATCTCTGACTTGCCGCGCAACATGTCATGAACTGGGGCTGAAGCTTCGTCTCGTTGAACCATGAGCGGCTATAGTCTATTTTGCTCATTGGTCGGCAACATTTCTCCGTTCGCTCCCTGTCCAAATCGAGCA